AGGAGCGGGGTCCCGGCTTTGGTGGCAGGATTGGGTGTCGCTGCACTGGGTCTGCCCTTGGGTTGCTCTTTATCTCCCAGTTCCACTGCCCATGTCCAGTTAGGACAGTTCCATGGGTTAGAGGGGGCAGGCATCCAGGGGTGGGCAGGGATGTGGACCCCGAGGTGGGCAGGGATGGGCAGAGGTGGGCAGGGAGGGACAGAGGTGGGCAGGGATGGAGACCCAGGAATGGGTAGGGAAGGACACCCAGAGGTGGGCAGCTCCTCCCGGGGTGTAAATCAGCATCGTCCCCTGAACAATCCCACCCCAAGAAGGGATCTGGGTCACAAGAGCGTGGGCATGCTCTGAGGCTGCTCCCCTCCGCACAGTTCTGGCTGTGGGCTGGGATGTGTTGTGTCTCTTCAGAGGTCCAGGGAGCTCCAGGTCACCAGCCTGGGCGTTAGTTAGACGTGGTGGGCAGCTCCTCCCGGGGTGTAAATCAGCATCGTCCCCTGAACAATCCCACCCCAAGAAGGGATCTGGGTCACAAGAGCGTGGGCATGCTCTGAGGCTGCTCCCCTCCGCACAGTTCTGGCTGTGGGCTGGGATGTGTTGTGTCTCTTCAGAGGTCCAGGGAGCTCCAGGTCACCAGCCTGGGCATTAGTTAGACGTCCCCAGGCGAGGAGCTGGGTGGCAGCAGGTGACAGCTGCCATGAGGATGTTTTGCCTCCATGGCCAGTTCTCATCCTGGCAGCGTGCTCACAAAACCTTTCCCGGGTCAGCCGTGCCCTCCTCATTCACCTTGATATTTCCGTCAAACAAATCGGCGTCCGAATCGATTGTGGGTGTCCTGGGAGGGTGACTCACTCCCTCCCCGCATCTCCCCGGCCGGGACGAGCATCTCCCTTGCGATTGCATGGAGGGGGCGGCGGGTGGGCTCCATGCGCAGGAAAAAACCCCAAATCTCAGCGGATGGGTCACATTTGCTTTCCAGTGAGGGGGATGGGAGAGACCAGATCCTGCTCGAGCAGCCGGAGGAAGTTGCCTTTGCTTTTCCCCGCTCCTCAAGGTCAACCTGGCTAATGGAAATCAATCTTCCCTCTGCCTCTCTGCTGCATGAGCACGTTCTACCTGTGATCCCCTCACCTCCCCGAAAGCCTCCGCCACCGCTGACCGTGTGCAACCCCGGTGGGGAGCTCCCGAGTGAAACAGAGTCTTCCCGTGGGCCCGGGAACCGTGACAATATCGGTGTCACTGAGGGATGGCTCATTTGATCTGCCAGAGGAGAACGGCTTTGTGTTGCGGGGAAGCTGGCTGCGCACGGAAATCACGCATCCGATATCGAAATCTGGGCTGGGAGCGTGGGGGAAAAGCTCATCGCTGGGGTCTTGTGTGTGACGAGTGGCTTCAGTCCTCAGCGCGCTCCTGGGCAGCTCCGTTGTGCCGGCAGCGGCAGGGAGAAGCTTCTCTCCCTCCCAAGAACCACAGCTCCACTGCAGACCCGAGGTTTTGGGGAGGTGCTGATGCTCTGAGGTCAAACCTGCTGGGACAGGGGGAGTTTTGGGACGTGGGGGTCCTCCCTGCCCCATCCCACGCCCCTCGGATGATCTGGACCTTCCCTCCAGCAAAAGCAGCCTCGGGAAGTGCCGTTTCCTGGGAGTAACAGCAAAGGGGATGGCAGCATCGGTGCAGGGAGCAGGATGGGGTTCACCTGGTGCTGGGTATGCTCTCCCGGCTTCACCCCACATTCATGCTGGGGTTCAGGAGGAACCTGTCCCTTCTCAGTGCTCATCACGGGGGTAAATCAGTTCCTGGGCGTGGGAAAAGGGGATGCTGCAGCGGGAACCGCCGGGACTCGGGGAGTCCGCGGGCTTGGCCTGTCCCTGTCCCACGTGTGTGTCTCGTTAGTTGCAATTTGTTGCTGGTGCTGCCCGAAATGAACGTGGTGGGATCCTCTCCGTCCCCGTGCCCCTGGTGTGCGCCGGGTACGGCAGCGGGGGCTGCGCGGGGTGTGCTGGGATCCCCAAAGCCGGGTCTGCTCCGGAGGAGATGCTGTTCCCAGTTCTGTCGCTGGATAAGTCCCAGCTTCGAGTTTCCCCTCCTCTCGAGAGGGACAGCGCTGTCCCCTGGGGAAGGAGAGGGAGGACGGACAGGGTCCATCAGCGCTGGCGCGGGGCGGGAAATGCTCTGGAAGGACATGAAGAGCTCGAAAGCACGGGGAGATGCTGTGTCCACCAGCTTCAAGGGACAGATTTTATGTCCCTTGCATTTTGGGCATGTCCAGCCTGCGTCTCCCCAGGCACAGAAGTACTTTGGGTCTGGTTGTTGCAGGAGTTCTCCATCCGGTCCTTGCTTCCTATTTTGTACAAATGGATCCCTTATAAAATGTGACACAAATGTTTTTTCTGTCTTCCTGCCCCATCCCACAGGATTTTTAGATGTGCCCTGATGCCGCAGGATCTCCCCGCTCCCGGAGATGCAGCTCTCTTCCAGCGTGGCTGAACTCCGCTGCGACGAGGCGATGGACCCACCCGCTGAGGACTTCCAGCAGGTCCTGTCCATCGACCAAATCCGCTCCATCCGCGCCAGCAACAACTACGTGGAGAGACCGGCCGCCCGCTTCCAGCAAGCCCGCTCCAACCCGTCCCTCTCCCAGCCACCGCACAAGCACGAGTGGTCCCA